ATTATTATTATTATTATTATTATTATTATCTCCTTTTTATTATGATCTGACATAGAAGGTCATTTCACTGAGGATTTTCCCCAACTCTAACAATTTCAAAAATTGAAAATTTTTGAATGCAATATTCAGAGTTATACCTGTCCTTTAAACCATGTGATCTTTCATTTGAATGAAATGCAGAACACTAAACTGAGCCCCCATAAAATCAAATTGCATGTGCAGCTCCATGATACTGAGCCCTCTCTGCCTGTGATGCCCTTGTCTATGCTAACACATCCTCCTCCCTCAAAGCCCCACTTCAGGGTGGCCACCCCTGTGAGGTACTCGTTCTTCTCCAGGTAGCCTGCTATTCCTTCCTTTGAGCTACTATCAACTCTCTCCTATACCATTGTAGCACTTGGCATGTTTTATTGTAAACTTTCAAAAATTTTCACTCTGCCTGCTCTGTCACATTAAGATTTCCTTGAGTTTGGGACCATCCACTTTGGTATTATTATTAKTAGTAGTAGTGTTTTGCCTTAKTATTTTATAGCCTCGTTTATTTTGGTAATTGGTATGTAGTATACATCAAAATGTTGGACTTTTGGGGGTTTTTATAATTTCATTTATGTCACACACAATTAAAGAGTTTACCAAATGATCATATACAATTTAAACAATACTAAATGAATACCCACATACCTGCTACCCAGCCTGTGCAAGAGAATATTATCAGTACCCTTTTTTAAACTACTCAACAAATATTAACTATTTTTTTAAATAACTTTTAGTTGTAGGTGGACATAATACCTTTATTTATTTATCTATTTATGTGGTGCTGAGGATCTAATCCAGTGCCTTGTCCATGCTAGGCAAGTGCTCTACCACTGAGCCACAACCACAGCTCTTAACTTGACTTTTTTAAACATTAATTTCACCAAGTGTTCTAGCTCTCCAATGTAATTTTGATTCTCGATTTTGACATACCCCATAAGCAATCATTCCAAGTTTTGCCATCTGAAAATATGATAAGCTTTACTTTTATATTATCTTACACATCTTAGTTAAGGTTATTAACTAAGGTCATGCCAAGGACAAATCTAAAGACATCCTACATGGTTACAGTTACTTTTGACTACAGTCACCTGACAATCCCATCACATAGACTTCACTGCAAGGAAAGCAAACAATTATTTGGTATTTAACACATCCTCCTGAATAATCAGTTTGTTTGTGGCAGTGTATTTAATCTTCAGAAAAGTTTTCCAACATTCATCCATTCTTCTCCTTTTGGAATGGAGGACTCTGAGGCTCAGAAAGGCTACCTTGCATAAGTCACCTGTCTAGAATGAGACAAAATCAGACGTAAAATCAAGCTGTACCTGTCCTGACCCCTGCTCTCTCTCTGCTTCTGTTCACCAGTATATCAGGGAAAACCTATTGAAATCACTTAGGAAATAAAGACGGCCTAACCTACCACTTTTCAAGGCCAGAGGTCTGCTCACTATAAGTGAACCTTTGTTGCCTCCAGTGGCCCTTGCTTTCTACCCTTGAAACCCAGAAGAAAGGCTTAAGAAATGAAGGTAGATTAAAATCAAGGACATCATTTGGCAGAGGCAAATATAGAACCTATTGAGTGTGCTGCCTTACTGCTTGGTGTTTTTGTAATGTTGGACACATTTTTAACTCTCCTAATTTGCATTTGCATGATTGGAGCAATGGGCAGCATTTTCCCTTAGGACTGTGAGGATTAGGTGATTAAACACTAGTAACATGCTTAGAATAGGCCTGTACTGACTTCCCAGTCTGTCTTAGCCATTGCTGCCAGCAGAGTCATTGTTACTAGGAAGTTAGYGTTCCTATAAGTCACCTGTCATCAGCATCCCGAAGTCACCTGTCATCAGTGTAGTGCAGTGAGCTCTCTCCTTTTGAGTCACAGAGCAGCCTCCAGGCCAAGACAGCCATCAGCATGGAAGTAGCTTTCACAAAAATCTCTTCAAATATTTAGGTTTTCTTAGAAGGATTAAAGAACCCATAAATATACAAATGTGCATTCTCTGATCCTGTCTCTCAAAGCAAACTATTTTTTGTCCCCTCCAGAAGCCAAGGGTTTGGAAATGATGGGAAGTACTCTTTGTTTCCTTAGTTTACTTGAAATGTCAGATGAGAATCTTGTGCCATGCCAGATGAGTGAGCACAGACAGATGTCAGCTCAAAACTGTCTTCCTGAACAGAGCGAGGCAGAGCCATCACTAGACACTTGTAAGCGACAGAGCCAGAATCTTCTACTGAAGGCCTACTGTAGCTCACCCAATAACATCCTTAKAGTGTGTGACTGGAGGCGGGAGGCAGGGAGTGATATGTATCAAGGAGTTTGAGGTCAACATCTGCTCAKTTCAGATTCTACCATGACAATTTACTGGCTGGATGGCCATGGAAACTTACACAACCTCTGAGACTAGCCCATCAGATGGGGCTGAGAGTTCTGGGAGGAAGCCGGTATGGGGCACAAAAAAGAGATGATCTGACTTTGCTGGCTGTCCATCTACCTGTCCAGACCCTGCATTCTAAGAGGTTATGAATATGGAGTGTCTTCTTCACCCCTGAGAGGCTCTGCAATGCAGTTGAAGGCAGGATTTTCTAGGGTTGGCATTCATAGAATTTTCCATGGACAAAAGCAGAGTGATAAAAATGAATGCCAATTAGTATATGCTCCTTGTAGCACTTGCGCATGCGCGCTCTCTCTCTCTCTCTCTCTCTCTCTCTCACACACACACACACACACACATACACACACACTGAGGACATTGTATATATGTGTCACATTATAGTTCACACATCACTTCTTCAGTGCAGCTTTCCCTGTCCCTAGACTGTATTAGGCACCTCACCTTTGTATGCGCATGGTATGCATAGCCTGCCTTCATTCACTCATCCTAGTTTGTAATTACACATTTTTGTGATGATTTGATGGGTGCTTGTCTTGGGGTAATTAATTGCCCAGTTTGGCTGAGGCCAAGGAGTTTTTCAGGACACAGAACTTTCAGCTCTAAAACTGGTGGAGTCCTGGCCAAACCTGAATGACTGAACACCCTGGTACTCCTTCCTGTCAGGGTGCCATGCTCCATGAGGGCAAGGACTATGCACTTTAAAAAAAAGGAAAAAACACTTATATCCAGTGCCTGGCATATATCTGGATCTTGGTGGGAAGTCAGGAAACATTTGTTGAACCAGTAAAGAATGAATATGTCAATATAAGCTGAACTGTCTTTTCCTATAGAAACCCGTCTTTTCCCCTGAGATTGTTCTTTCTATTTTTAGGTGCTAAAGTCCCTTTTTTATATATAAATTTCCCTTACTTGACAAGATTTAAACATGTCAGTACCAAATAGTTTTCCTTGCCTTTCTTCCTTCCCTTCCCATTTGGGGGTCGGAAATCTTCTGATTTGAGAAATGAATAGTTTAGTGGAAAAGGAACTAGAATAGTGGGCATAAAGAGAGTTAAACAAGGTCTCTCTGCTAAAATGCTAGATGATGACATTCATGAAGAAAGGAATTATGGATATTCAGTTTACTTCTTTATCTCTAGGTTCTAGCATAGTACCAAGCGTATGTTGCAAGAGCTGAATAAACATTTGTTGAATAAATAAATGACTTAAATAAATAAATGATTTCTGCTCAGTCTCAAGACAGGTTGGAGTCAACCTCTTGTGCCTAACTCCCTCTTCCTTCCTACCCCCTCTAGGTAACCCTTTCCTAACACCATAAATTTGACCTCAGCAGCCCTTCCTGCTGGATGGAGAAGCAGGTCTCATGGCATAAAGGAAGAAGCACTTCGACATCTTTCCTGATTGGCTGTTATACATTAATTTTTTAAAAGGAAAACAGAACTATTTAATCTGATTACCTGTCATTGACTGGTTTAATTTCACCAAATCCTGCTGACAAGGACATAAAGCTTACATTTTGTGCTTTGTTTATGATTAGAGCTATCATTTCAGGGAAATCGGGATGGCTAAAATTTTGTCTACTTAGTTATGACTAGTTGGCCTTGTGGTATTTTTGCTTTTCTTTAACATACTCCGCACCCTCTAGATCCCTCTTCCACAGTCTCTGTCTTGTCTTTACCATCCCATGGACCATACCATAGTCCATTTGTCTATGTATTCACATAGCTCCTGCTAGATTGGAGCTTCTTGAAAGGAAGACGCACCAGAGGGCATGCTGTTAGATGGCTTGTAAATAAATTGTTTGTGAGAGGAATGTATCAGTTATCTATTTCCACAAAAAGGCTAGGTAACAAATGTGGAACCTTAGTAGTGTAATGGTAGAGCTGTATTTTTGCTCACAAGTCTGTTGATTGGCCGGGTGGCTGGGATGGTCTGGGATAGTCAGCTTCTGGCCAACTAGGGGGATTTTCTGGTCTTGCCTGGGCTCTCTCATATATCTGGGACAGCACCTGAGACAACTGGGCTGATTCAGCTCTGTTGCACAAGTCTTCTCATCTGGAGCATGTCTCTTGGCCAAGGTAGAAGGTCAAGAGAAGGACAAAAAGCACATGGCCCTGGAGAGGCCCAGAACTGGCACAGTGTCACATCTGCCTCCTTCTCTAGGCAAAACAAGTCACAAGACTGACCCAAGATTCAACAGGTTGAGAAATAGATCCACCTCTCAGTGGCAGGAGCCACAAAGGGTCATAGAAAAGATGTAGACACAGGAGGGGTAGAGAATGGAGACGAATTGTACAGTCTCTGCCACAGAGTGGGAACCAGCAAGGAAATGCCTCATATGTTTCTTTACAAAATAATCGCTTTACTGCTTTGACATCTCAATGAATTTATCAGAAATATTTCCAAAGATGGAGCCATGATCTTCCTTGGGAGAGAATAACTCCCCCACCATAGAGGTATTCAACAATAAGCTGCATTCTATGGTCATAGAAGCATTAGGTGGGAGGAGGGTGAGGCTCCCTCCGGCCCCCAGGGTCAGCATTTTCACACAATTTTCCCCTTTTCTTCCAGATCAGCAAAGACCCAATTTTTGTACCAGGTGTCTGGGGGCCTTATTTCTCAGCCATGGTCCCTGGGTTCTGGCTGAACGAAGGTGGTCAGAGTGTCACTGGAAAATTGGTAAGTTGACACTTACTCTGTAGCATCAGGAATGTTTTACACCATTGACTATCCCATTTTGTCACGTCACCCATCTCCCAGTAATTGGAAGATTTGCATACTCCTAAGTCAGCTAACATTCTCTTAGTGTACAACCTAATATATATATTGCATTGTCGTGTATTTTTGATAAAGGATTAACTGTTGCTCCAGGCAGTGATGACTGTCCCTTCTTTTCATTGTTCTTTCTCCACACCAATCCATCCCCTCCCTAACCCCTCCAGGAGAGAGTGATATTCTGTTTTGTGAAAAATGACAATGTTATTTCCCAGCCCAAACCCTTTAATGGTTCCATGTAGCCCTTGAGACACAAGTCAGATGATTTGCTGGGCACATCGTCCTTCTTGCAGTCTGTCTACTCCAGCCTCACACATGTGCCGGTCACTTACATTAGATTGTGAAGGACTCACATGGCTCATGTTATCCCATTCTTCTGTCCCTTTGTAATTGCTTCTTTTCCTGCTTGGGCAGGCAGTTTTACCTGTCCTTTAAACACAACTCCAGTTGATGCAAAGGTGGTGCAGTAGTCAGCTTTTTGTCACTGTAACCAAAACACCTGACCAGAACAACTTAKAGGAGGAAAAGATTATTTGGGCTCACAGTTTCAGAGATTTGGTCCATAGGGGGCCAACTCATTTGCTTTAGGCCTGAGGAGAGTCAGAACATCATGGTAGAAGCAGGTAGCAGAGGAAAGCTGTCAGCTCATGGCAGCCAGAAAGCAGAGAGAGCAATCAAGCCACCAGGGATAAAACATAAAATGCAAAAGCATACCCAGTGACCCATTTCCTCCAGCTATACCCCACCTGCCTAGAGTTACCAGCCCATAATCCCTTTACATTATTAATCCATCCAATGGATTAATTCACTGATCAGATACAAATCTCATAATCTAATAATTTCACTTCTGAACATTTCTGCATTGTCTATCATATGAGCTTATTTGGGAAAACATATCCAAACTATAACAAGTGGTTAGGAAATCCTTTTCATGGGAGACAGTGTTTGTGCTGAGACTTGAAAGATAAATACAGATAAACCAGACACAGAAGGGTAGGGACAGACTTCTAGGCAGGAGAATTTGCAATGGAAGAAGATGTGGACATGATAAGTAACAAGCATATTTGATGGTAACAAGCATATTTGATGGTAATTAAAATAGTCCATAATTTCAGCTCTGGCCCAAATTATTCTTAGAAAAATAGCTTAAAATAAAAATTAGAGAGCAGGAAAGGAACCATGTCTTAAAAAGTCCCTGAAAAACATGCTAAGGAATCCAGCATCATCAAGGAGAGTAGGTAGACACATTCAGGTCTCAATTGGAAGAAACCCTGGATAATAGCCATAAGKAAGAAGGTCTGAGGGCACATGTCCAAAGGAAGGGAGACCAGTTTTATTAGGTTAATCCCCAGATAAATAGCCATGAAGGCTTGAAGGAGGAGAGTAGGAATGACGACTGGGAGTTGAGGTCAACAGATCAGCAGGGCTGCTCAGAGATTGGATGAAGAATGCAAGGGAAAAGAGACCTAAGCTCAGTTACCCAATCTCCCATTTACTAGGTTACACTGAAAGTGTCTGTTTATTGTCTGAGTCCCCTCCCAGCCCTTCTAGGTGTCCAGCCAAATTCCAAGTGGTCTGATCCAAAGCTGGATATGGATACAAATAACCATTAATTTCCATTTCTTAAGTATTTCTATTTTAAACTTCCCTAAATGACCTCTCAAAGTAGGTAGAAGTGTAGGTGGGTGAATGGGTTCACAGAGCATGTTCTGTACCCATGCTCCTGTGCCAGGCTAGAGAAATGAATCCACTGAGGCAGTCCTCATCAGTCCCTGRTCCTCAGGATCAGACTCTGAAATAATTAATATCTGATTGGTCTTAAGAACCATAAACAGAATGGTCAAGAAGGAATACATCATGCCTAAAGTACGGCAGTATGGATGTCCACCTAACATTCTCCTTATTTAAACCACTGCTGTATTTGTGTGTAACATTCTATTTAAATATCCACCCCCTTTCTGTTGCATATTGAAGACCTATAACTAAAAGCCCTTTTTAACCCCACATCATAGTATAGTCATAAGAACCCACAGAGGACACAGTCTAGAAACTTTCTAAACAAGGATGGGGGAAAAAACAAAAAACAACAACAACAAAAAAAAAAAAAAAACCACACTTCTTTGCATAGGATGCATTGTTCAACAGGGTTTTACAGACACCATGCAAATTAGACATCTTTTTCAGTTGGAAATGTTTTTTTCCAGTATTTGGTTCAGTTATTTGCTCTGGATATAAGTTATCTTCACATATGTTTTAACATATATTTGTGAATAAAAATTAGTTATATACCTATTTCATAAGATTACATTTTAATTTTTAGAAAATTTGACCTYTTTTTTGCTATTTCTAAAAAATCTTTAGTTTTCCACTATGAGTTTTGRTATAAGGCTTGAGAATTGTTAGCCTATCTGTTCAATTAGCTTTGCACTATAAACCATTCCAGTTATATTGGGAGCTCCACTTTGGACAATCTGACATATATAATTTCATTGGACATAGAATTGGGTCATGATTGACCCATGGATTATACACAGCAAAATCTTAACCCATTTTGTCCCATCATCCCAGATGTGTAAAATGCATAAACAATTAAATGTAATGTGTATGTAATAATATATGTAATATATGATACACAACATAATAATGCATAATTGTACAATGATATAATTATATGATATTGTTACTATATATAATAAATATATACTACATAAAATAACTAATAGTATTCTTATATAATACGATATATTGATATTTGTGTTATAATAATATAATTTATTATAGCAAAATAATATTATAGCACTATAATATATAATATATAGTGTGATATAATTTATAATAACATGATTATATTGTAATATAATTATGATAATAATATAATATTTAAGCTCTAGATTATTATTTTCGACCTATTTTAATGCACTTGTGTCAATTTTTTGAAACATCTGCAAAATTGAAAACTTGGGACTTAATGGATTAAGAAACCTAAAAGCTGCCATGATAGAGCAAAATTTGAAACAAGAACAAAGTAGACTATCTAGTAAGACAGCAGTCTGGAGATGCCAAGCAAAGAAACATAAAACAGGTATAAAACAAAGAAAATGAGGATGATGATATTAATAACAATAATTGGAGCTTATCCAGAATTTTTTCTGTGAGAGGGATTTATATCCTTGAATGATAGTCATAATAATTATGATGCCTAATGTTATTTTGAAAGTTTATTTCCCAGTTTCGATTCCAATAATTTTTCATGTATTATCTCATTTAATCCTCTCACAACCCTAGACTTTGCAGAACTTTATAAACATGCTCTTGTAGATTCTCTCAGGAGACAGGAAAAGTTATTATCTGTATTTTATAATGGACCACTGAACCCAGGGTTGCCAGCACTGCCTGACCCACYACCAATGGCCTTTTCATATGGTCCCTTTGCCACTTACCTTTCCTTATGGCTTACTAATTCTGGYTCCTTCTATGGTAAATTTTGATCTCTGGTTTTGAAACATGCTGTCATCATGTAGAACTCTAAGAGGAACTTGTATCCCTCTGTTCTTTGTTTCATACACACAACTCTGTTAAACCTCAGCTGAAGGTTGCTGTWGCTGCAGACACAGTCAGAAATATACCATCCACCTCAGAAGAGAAGGGAAAGGAAATGGGAAAACAGAAGAAAAGGGAAACAAGGAGAAAGAAGAAAAAAAACAAAAATAAGAAAAAGAAAGGAAAGAAACACACAAACTGTACATCACTTGAAAAAGAATACTAAAAGTTTCTTTTTTTCCAGTTAGATACATACAGAGAACTTCATTACAAAGCAAAACCATCATTCCAAGTATATGAATACATTGGTACTTTAAAAACAAATCTTCATCTGGTTATCTTCAGGATGAAGAAAAAAATGGAATTTTTTTCTGGTCCTGGAACTCTTACAGTCTCATTTGACTGAGAATTAGACTTATTGTTGACTCATTTCACATCACTGATATTTATTTCTTCTCTKAAAGGCCACACACTCCCTTTCCATAAATGATTGATTTTAGTTGTACCACCAAACACCCATCCAAGGTTGTCTCGTGCTCACCAATTTTCCAGAAAAATCATGCAAAAAACATTGCTTTTTGCCCAGACTTTTTCCACAGATCACYAACCCTGGTGTTCACTGAATCCAGATGCTGAAACTCATTTCCAGCTGGWTCTTGGCCATCCCCCATCTAACTGCTCCTCTCTGTCTTAATTGAAGTGAGTTCTGTTGGAAGAGGTGTTGGGTAAAGGGAGGCCAAGATAAGTGCCTGTGCTGTACTGTGGTAGATTTGCTTCCTAGGACAATTGGGTTTACATTGGAATTGTATGAACCCAGAATTTGAATTTATAAAATTGAGTCACAGGACTACAATGCAGCAAGTTTGTCTGTGTTTTKGGAAATGTAGGATTTGTGCATTGGGAATGCCTATCTATCTCTCCCATTATCTCCATGGCTGCTCCAWCTGGAGCTAGCCTCTGGAAGTTATCCATAAAAGTCAGTCTGCCATAAGTGGCTTATGAGCAACTTGAAGTGTGTTCAGTGCTGTGCAGGTTATGGAAATGGTCATTTTATCCCTTCTTTCATTCAGTCATTCTATCATGTTACAGGGATTTTCAGATCGATTACACCAGTCCAGGCAAGAATGAGGTCACTCCAGTAGCTCATCATCACCTAAGAAAGTTGGATGTAGAACTGATAATTATAAATTTATTATTGCACATAAGAATAGATTKTTCTGTCCCTGCAGCCTACTGGAAAGGTGGGAGCTGGCACGTACTGAGAGCCTGTTATATGTCAAGCTCTTTTAGGCCCAATAAGATTCAGTCCTTCATTTGATTTTTCCTCATGTACGTGCATGCWTGCTTGCGTGTTGTCAGTGTTA